CAATCGGCATATAGTAGTGAAATGGTTATTTGATTGCTCAGCTGCGTCAACGTTAGTGAGATGGCTAAGGAAGGGGAGGGGGGTGTGTCTTATTGTTTAGTCCACAGAGTTCTATAAGCTTACCATACCATTGACTGATGTTGGTCTGCTTCAGGTGTTGCAATTTGGTTGGGCAGTGAGACTTCTTTGCAGTGCGTATTTCGCGGATGACTCGGTTGCGAAGGGACCTGTAGCGGATGTGGTCATTGAGATTAAAGGCTCTGTCTCTCTGTTGCATAAGTCTTTTGATCCGAGGTGTGATCCAGGGCAAGTTAGCTGGGTGAGATCTGACGGACTTCTCGGGGAAGAAGTGGTGGTGAGCTTCCGTGGTGGTGTTGGTATAATTTTTCCATGGTGTCGACACAATACTCCCTCATATCGATCCTGATGCCTTTTTACAAAACTCACTGGGTTACACAAACCCCAATTGTAACTATTACTTTCCTGACTCTCCCGAGTTTAGTTCTAGTCATCTACTACCTCATTCCTTCTCCTTGATTAGCCATAACATCAGCAGTATTCCCCTTCATCTAGATACCTTTTTAGATCAGTGTTTATCTTCTATAGCCCACAAATTTAATGTACTTAGGTTCTGTGAGACCAAACTCACTAAAGGTATTGAACATTTGTAAAACATTCCTAATTATAATAGACACTGGGTCAACACGTCACGACACAGTGGTGGTGTCGCCCTATATGTTGATATCAAGTATAACACTTCTGGAAGAGATGATTTAAAGGTTCAGGAGGAATACATGGAGAGTTTTCTCATTGAATTACGTAGCAACACACGAAATATCCTAGAAGGAGTAATCTACAGAAGACCCCACACTAATGTAAGGAATTTTCTTGATAAATTTTCAGAGCTTATCACTATCATAAGTTGAGAGAGGAAACGTTGCTACATTACAGGAGATTTCAACCTTGCTCTATTAAAATCAGAAGCCGACACCTCAGTATTAGACCTTCTTGCTACCTGTCATTCTAAGCTCTTCTTCAACACTATAACTAAACCCACTAGAGTAACTGCCACCTTTGCCACTGTGATAGATCATGTCTGGACTAGCAACACTCCTAACAATCTTGCAAGTGGAATTATTTATAACAATATCTCAGATCATTTCCTAGTTTTTTCCATGTATAAAACAGCCACAAGACCTGAAAGGTCTAGTAGAGTCTCAATACAATACAGAGACTACTGCACCAACAACATGCTCTTTTTTTAAAACAACCTAATGAATGCTAACTAGGATCTTGTCTATGCCTCCGACAACACTAACGTGAAAAGCTGCAACTTCTCTTGCATCTTCAATGCTTGCTTTGATAAATGCTTCCCGCTCAAGACTAAGTCAGTTAAAACTGTATCCATTTCCAAACCCTAAATCACAAGCGAAATTTAGATAATGAAAAAAGAAAAACACAAACTCCAAAGGAAATTTGCAAAAAGATCCATAACTTTCGGTGATGCTTACCGAAGTATCAGAAATAGAGTAACTCAAGCAGTTAGAAATGTCAGACATAGCCATTATACAAATAAGCTCCAGTCAGCATCAGGCGACGGCAAGAAAACCTGAACTGTCATAAATTCTCTTCAGTACAGGAACACTGAGCCTTCGGCCACCACTCAGCTTTTATGATAAATGATTCAGCTGTAACGGATTCCTCCCTCATTGCCAACCACTTTAATGAACATTTTATCAATGTTGGCAAAAATCTTGCAGAGAGCATCCCTAATCACCATGAGGAATTTAGAGCTTACCTGCAAAACAGACAGCAAAATGAGCTGTTCTTATCCCCTGTCACAGCAGATGAATTACTGGCCATCATAAAAATGTCCAAAGATGCAGCAGCAGGCGAACACAATATACCAATGAGCATCATTAAGAAAGTAGCCCACTTATTGCTACTTGTTCTCCTACACATTTGTAACACCTCCTTCACTAGTGGTGTCTTTCCGGATAAACTGAAAATTGCTAAAGTTCACCCAGCATATAAAATATCTGGGGACAAAGGTCTCTTCAAGAATTATCGGCCCATGTCAGTCCTCCCAGCCTTGAGCAAGATACTGGAGAAGCTAGCAAGTAGTAGACTAAATTCCTTCAGCAATGCCATCTTTACAGTCGCCCAGTTTGCCTGACAATAATTATTTCCAGTCCTGGAATAATAAGAGATACAACTTAAGGCACCCAGAGCTACTAAGATCACCCCCCATGCACTCCTCTCAGTCCCAGACCTCCATAAAATATCATGGTGTGAAGGTGTGGAAAAACTTACCCCCACCCATCCGAGCAAAGACTACGCTCCCTTACTTTAAATCATCTCTTAAAAAATATCTATTGTCTTAGTACTAATATTTCTTGTAATACCTATTATATTTACAGTACCTGCTTTTATTATACCATCAAAACCTTATTATCGGAAATTATTATGAAAATACATAAGAAATTACCATCGCAATAAACATAATTGCCAACTAGACATTGTCCTGACAGCTCTGTCCTCTTGTTCAACCTTAATACTGTACAACCCATGTTGTACTCCCCCCCCCCCCCCAATTATACTTATGTTTTCCAATTCCGCTGTAATTTATGTATATACTTATAATAAAAAAATAAACAAAATAAATAATAATAAATAAATAAAATAAATAAATATTGAAGTGATAATCGTGGAAACATTATGAGATGTACTTTTTACCACCATGCTATTGTACTATTCCAGATGTTACTAAATGTTACATAATACTTTCTTGAGAAACTATATAGTATATATCAGGTGCCTAAAAGAGAGCTCAGGTTCTCAACTGGCTCAGCCATGTTAATATTGTTATTATTATCCACTCTGTATCTGTGTTTTTTCTGGCTAAATAAACTGTTTCAATTCAGTTCAATTCAATTCAACATGTCCCTCACCCACCTTGGGTCCTGTCATGGCTCTCATCATGTTGACTCTCTTGCCCATTCGGTCTCTTAGATAGTTTATCTCATTGTCAAATTTTAGGTTTTTGTAATCCAGATGCCCAGATATTTGTATACATTGACCCATTGTAGGACAATACCTTGTATTTGCAGTTGTGTCACCGGCTCATTGTGTTCAATCCTCATGGCTTTCGATTTTGGGATTTATATCTTGAGCCCGAGACTCATACATTCTTCACTGATGAGGTCTAGTGCTCTTTGGACTTTGCTGATCTGGTTTCTGCCTTTTACTCTCAGTGCTAAGTCATCAGCATAGCATAGCAGTTTGGTACCCTCATAAAAGGGGATCCGACACAAGTTTTCCATGAGGATGTTGAAGAGAGTTGGACTAAGAACTCCTCTTTGTGGTGTGCCATTTTACAGTCTTTGGTGATCTGAGACTAGTCCTTGACAGGTAACTCTTGCTGTTCTGTTTTGGAGACAGTCGGCAATCCAAGCCAGTAGGTATCCCTTGACGCCTTTCCGGGCCGGAGTGGTTACAATAGCCTGTGCATTTGCCAGCTCAAATGCTTTTTCTAGATCAAGGAATACTACGATTGCCTTATTTTGACCAATCGATCCCAGGAGAGTGGCCAAACTGTGTGCAGTGCTGACACTTTTGGTGAATCCAAAGATATTGTGGTGAAGTGGTCCAGTTTTCCAGAGGAATCGTGTAAGGACCATCCTTTCGGCGGTTTTGCCGATGCATGCTGTGAGTGATATTGGTTTGAAATTCTGGGGCTCATTGAGTTTGGGAATGGGAACACTGTTTGCCCTTTTCCAAGCTGACGGAATTTACCTGAATAGACCATGAAGCGTTGATTAACCGTTAGGAAACAAGTTCACCAGCAAGTCCCATTGCTGAAACCAATGAACAGGTATATACCATCACTGCAGCGAAGCAAGTTTTGCCGTTTCCTGGCCTTTCTGTTTACTATAAAATACGGTAATGACGACGTGCAGAAGGCACTCACCAACGAGTAACCCGCGAAAGAGCGCCTCACTGATGTACACCCACTGCCAGGTTCGCCTTCACCAGCAGTATGTAGCCAATAATGAGTTCTGGGAAAAGGATCGTCTTCACAGACAAAAGCGTCCACCTTCAGCAACCATGGCCGTTCACGTGGAGTATAATAATACAAAAGAAAGCGTGATAACTCTTCATCTTATTGAAGATATAAACGATTTAACACCTAATACCAAAAACTTATCCTCACTACCCAGTCATCCACACTCTTCTGGGGAGAAAGTGAAGCAAACAAGATCTGTTTTCCCCATCTGCTTCACAATTCTTCTTCTCTCATCCTCCTGCTCCCACAAAGCCGGTGAAACAAAGCCTGTTTCATTCCATCTTTCCTAGACATTAGGAACCTTGAGTACAGAGGTTAAAGCATCTTAATTGCACTCCTCGAAGACGCAGAGTAAGGGCTAAAACAAAGCAGACATTACAAATTACTCAGACCATCCAACCGGGAGAGCGAACTCAAATAATGGTTTTAAATTAGACAAATTTAGACTTAAGGCGAAATAAGTAAACATTGGCTTGAAAGAGTAGGAAGAGTGGAAACAAGTTATCAAACATCATCATTAACTCGAATACGCTGGATAACTTCAAACATAGGTTGGATGGATATATGAGCAATAGGGTTGGGTGTAAATGGGACTGCCCAGTATGGGCCAATAGGCCCGCTGCAGTTTCCTCCATTCTTATGTTCTTATCTCCCTTGCCCCCTTACCTCCGACTTCTGAGCCTTCTTCACACCTATCGTCACTTATCCTGCATTAGTATCCAAAATCCAAATTTATTACAGGGTTCAATATTTGAAGAACTCATTGTTATCCCTATCTACTATCCAAGACTTTCTACTATTCAGATATGATCGCTGCTATGTTTATGAAGAGGCCGGAGCGGTCAGGGTCACTAAAAATAATTGGGGCTTTATGACTCTGCATGGGGTATTTGACGTGATGTAGATCGACATCGCGTCACTGCACAGAAATATGCCATATTTTTTTTTTTTTCAAAATCGTTGCCCAGTCCAATGACCTGGATAGTCCTGCAGTGGTTTGCCACTCAGGACAACTTACAGATGCTAGACTGGCGGAGCAGGGGCTGTAACAGAGCTGCTGGTAATAGGTGTAGGAGTTATTCGTTTCAGCTTCTCGTTCACATTATTCTTATTTAGATAAATGCCCTTTTCCATACATTCTGAGTATTTTAATTGCACCTTATACTACTAGTCTGCTAAACTCTATATTCTGTGATTGGCTCACCCTGACGTGAGTCAGCCTTTGCGATACAGTTACCAGACAATGAATTATCAAACAAATATTATTTTACTTTATATGATCGTGACTGTTGCTTGAAATCCTGGGTATCACTTGTATTTGTATTCTCTCCATAACTGCCTCATCAAAATGAGAGGAAACAACATTATTCTACCCTGTAAATTGTCTCCAGTGATTTCACTACCAGCAACCCAGAGTAGGAGTTGGGTGGTGGAGGCAGGGCAAGTGGAGTCGAGGGTTCCTACTCGTGCACGACATAGAAACTTTATTACTTTTAAGGTCTTTAAGCAACAGCTATGTTTCTTTGCATCATAAATAGCTCATTTAATAAAAATAATAATAATGATATTGTCAATATTTGCTACCCATTTAACCTGACTGGCACAATTAAACTGTGGTTTGCTGATTCTATACCGGACTGCTGCTAACTGAACTACGTTGGTTTATATCAAGTTTGTATTATAATAAATATGTGGCGCCCACTTCCGAATCGTTTTGATTGATAATTGATTAATCCCTTCAGTACGAAGCCTTCTCGTCTACAATCAAACATATCCATAATTTCGCTGAAATGGAACACCTTATTTAGAACATGAATTCACCCACTCTCTTCCTATTGTAACTAGAGTATTTTCATCTGGCAAGCTCTAGACTAGACGTTTACACCAAGCTGACGAAAATGTAATCTATCCCAACTGATATACTCTTTCCCTCTTCACCACCTAGTATTTCGTCTCACCCCACAAAAAGACACCAACCCTGAAACCCTCCCCAACTCTCCCTCCTGCTCACCATTAAATGAATTAGTTTCACACTTCAGGTCTCGAGAGTCTGCACCTGAGAATTTAGAACGCTAAGGTAAAGTCTGGAGGCCAACTATACTTTACCCAACGAATCACCAACAATGAACGTTTTATTACCTTTTGTTAGCCTTGTCCCCATTGTAACCTAATTGCCCATTTCTCCTCCAAAGGACTAAACAGGTTTGTACCTTTTGCTATTTTATTGGCCTTCTGCACCACGAGCCTTGTTGTCCCTCTCTTCACTACACTCCACTGGCCTGTGTTTTCGCCATTCACAGACTCTCCCAGTCTCACATCTTACTCCTTCATCCTCCCAATCACTTCCTCAACAACATGATATTCACTAGTCAGTGTCTAGAAAGTCTTCTGGTTGAAGCTAGTTTGGTTAGGGAATTGAATTTTATAAACCTTGGTGATGGTCAGCACAATACTGATATGTTACACAAATTTATTTGTCAGCGGCCCAAGGTTATAAATGCTTTGAAAGCATTGGAGTTAGAGTAGGATAGATGATTAGTGGGTCCCATATTTTTGACATGACTTAAATAGTCGTCGCCCTTTCTCTTAATAAACTGCAGGGGTGGTCTGAAAAATGGCAAATGAAATTCAACACCAGCAAGTGCAGCGTACTTAATATTGGAAGAACAAATACTTATAATGTATACAGCCTTAACAACATAAAGCTAGAGAAGTCGACTTGTGAAAGAGACCTAGGGGTACTTGTAAGCCCGGACCTACGGCCTAAAACAGTGTGTTAATGTTCGAAATAAGGCAAACAGAGTATTGGGTTTTATATCTAGAAGTGTAAAAAGAGTGCAGAGGTCTTATTGCAACTATATCTTGCGCTAGTCAGGCCGCATCTCGATTATGCAGTTCAGTTCTGGTGCCCTATTATAGAATGGATATAAATTCACTAGAGTCGGTGCAGCGAAGAATGACAAAATGATTCCGGGACTTAGAAACCTTCCATATCAGGATAGGTTAAAGAAACTTAACTTGCATTCCCTAGAAAGACGAAGAGTGCGGAGATATGATAGAAAGTATTTAAGTGGGTGAAAGGAATCAATAAAGGGATATAAATAAAGTTCTTATAATATCCGAGCAGGATAGGACTTGGAGCAACGGAATTAAGTTGGATAAGTTTAGGTTTAGGAAGATAGGAAGAAACTGGTTCACAAATAGGGTGGTGGACGAGTGGAACAAAAGCTTAGCAATTTTTGTATTAAGTGCTGGAACTCTGGAAAGAGTTTCAAAAGGAGGCTAGATAGATTCATGGATGATGAGAGTGGTAGATAACTCTCGACAGGAGCTCCTATTGCAGACTCCACTTATCTATATGTTCTTATGTTCTTAAGCCTTTGCGTGTGTGGTGGTGTTGGTGGTGCAGATTAGTGGATGTCATGATTATGACCTGACCTCATGTTTAGTAAGGTCACCCTGATCTGTGTATTTAAACCTCTCTTGTCCATGTAATTCAGTTGCTCTGAAGATGTCTTGAATAAAGACAAGCTAAGGTGTTCCATTGTTTCCTTTCCTGTGATTTTATCACGTTTTCATTATAGATCTACATGAAATATATACACACACACATATATATGTATATATATATATATATATATATATATATATATATATATATATATATATATATATATATATATATATATATATATATATATATATATATATATATATATATATATATATATATATATATATATATATATATATATATATATATATATATATATATATATATATATATATATATATATATATATATATATATATATATATATATATATATATATATATATATATATATATATATATTGAAACAATAAAAAAAAATACGGGAAAGAAACACTTTATCTCTTATTCAAGAACATGAATAAGACAAAGCTAGGTGCTCCGTTGTTTCCCTTTTCCGTGTGATTTATCATATATATATATATATATATATATATATATATATATATATATATATATATATATATATATATATATATACATATATATATATATATATATATATATATATATATATATATATATATATATATATATATATGTGATATTCAGAAATTTCAGTGTAATTTCAAACGCCGCGCCATTGTCGATACTGAGCTTTCAAGGTCGTCGGAGGGAGAGAGGCCTCCCTGCACATAGCGAGAGGTTGTGGAACTAGGCCTAAGTGATATGGTAGGTTTGATATCATGTTGTCTAGCCCTCAGGATGGATGGATGGAAACTCTAAGGTGGTGGTTTTCTTATATAATATAAGTTATATGGAAGACAGTCTGGTGCTGGAGATGCCGTGTTGAGGAGCTGCTCAGGAGACACGTTCTGTAGTAGCGTGTGCTGAAGGAGGTAGATGTGCAGGAGCTTCGTTAGAAGATGTTGCCTGTTGCTGGCCTCCAGGTTGAATGAGAGCTGGACAGCGAGGAGCTTGCTTGGAGGAGGTGTTGCGTGTTCAGGAATGTAGAGTAGAATGAATCTTAATGGAGAAGAGACAGAGCTTATATACACAGCAGCAGGAAGTAAACCCGTGGGCCGCCTGTTTGGTTGCTAGGATACTGTCGCATTGGAATGGGGCTACGCACTTGTAGGGGAGACGTCCACTACAATATTAAATGTAATTTGCCGAATTAATAATGATGCGATTTATGAAGTTAAGGGACTATTATTGAATTTGAAATTATTATAGATCGCTTATGAGTCTGAATAATGTTACGGGTGTCCCAAGGAGTTATTAGTTTGGCGGAAAATATGTCACATGAGCTAGCTAACGCCTTCAGAGGACAGGAGGCGGGCTCTCTCTCAGAAACGCAGCATTCAGATCAAACAAGGACGTCCCTGCGTCCGTCACAGAAATAGTCACGTGGCCTAGTCACCTGTGTTGCGCTATTGCAGCATAACAAGTAAGTCTCATTCGATCTCAGACAGGGTTTAGATAGGGCAGTGATAAAGATAACAAGAGCTAACAGTGAGTTCATTTCAGGGTTTCCGCCAGAACCCACTTGACCGAATGACTGACTGCGAGCGAAGATTGACTGCCGTTTAGAGACTGCCGTTGATGATTGAGGATTGGCGAGTGTCGCCGTTGGAACGATCAGTGTAGGCTTATCACTGGTTAGGGTAGCAAAGGATCGCTTGAGTGGACAGTGCTCCCGGCAACTAAAACGACACGGGACCAGCATCAGCATTGGGTGATCAGTTCTTACCGCAGTGCCCTCGGTCAGCTAAGTATTACCTACTGGCCATGGTCACCTGCGGGCGTTCTCTCTTCCCGCCCATGGACGCACTGAGTACACTGAGGCTATCTGAGTAAATTAATGGTCACACACTGAGACCAGGAGTCTAGGGATACCTAGAGAAACATTTTATCTCCTTATTACGGGTGTATGTTGAGTTGGGTGGAGCATGGTTCACGGGTATTAGTGGACCCAGTAACATCGCAATAATAGTGACAATATTGTTGTGTGTAGTTAGTACCATTTTTCAGTTACTGATATTATCTTGACGTGTGTAGTAATAGTTCATGATTTCGATATTGTTTTTTAATGTTTGTGTCACTAAGTGGAACCAGAGTGAAACTGTGATTTAATTCCTTTAATGCATTTAATTTTTTCTTTATAATTCTGATCTCAGGTATAACCTTTGTTCCCCAGAGTAGTGTTGTTAGGGTTTGGAATTGTGCATCTGTTGGGGTGATATAATTTTTGTTGAAGCCTTAAGGCCTGTTTCTTCATGTGTGCAAGCAATATTTCTTAATACTTTTAAATTTATTGTTGCCTGAGTTTCTAATACATTCCGATCTCAGATATAACTTTTATTCCCCAGAGTAGTGTTTTAAGTTCAGGTTAAGAGGTGCGCATATTGGTGTACCATTATTGATTGTGTTTGTAGTGTTGGAGGGAATATACGTGTAAATTTTACAGTGTGTCTCATTCATCCCAGTCACAGACGCTATCCTTCCACGGGTCACAGACTATTCAATTTGTTTAGTAGATTTAAGTGTTCTTGTGCTGGTTCGGGATTTTTCTCAAAGGGGCGCTTCCACTGCAATTACCATCTAATAATCTTTAATAAACTCCAAGTCAAGTGAGAAATTAAAAGTCCAGTAAATTCCGAAAGGTTACATATATATATATATATATATATATATATATATATATATATATATATATATATATATATATATATATATATATATATATATATATATATATATATATATATATATATATATATATATATAATCATTTACAAAGAGACAATTGTATGCTTGATTTTCTTGTAAAATAACTCGGTTTTTTTTTAATAATTACTTTATTATTAACTTAAAGTAATCATGTAAATTCTATACAATATATTCTGCCATGCATAAAATTTAGCATAAGGGTTAATTCACTTACCTGACTGTACTATGTTAACATCAAATTCCAGTGACAGACTCACATATACAGTACTAACCTGCCTGTTCAACTACATAGATAGTATAGTCAATCTGTTGACGCTGAAGTATTGGATGTGTATGATTCAGGAACACAGCCAGGTTTGTCTCTCTGTTTCTGTATGGGATGATGATGGCAACCTTGTGTCGAGCTCGGCACTCAGCTGGTGTGTAGTGACCTCCTAACTCAAGTTCTGGGTGGTTGTGTTCCTGTTCTTGAAGGGTTGGTGATGTGCGCTGCACCTTAAGAGGACCCCCTGTAGATACAGGACATGATTTGAGAAAGTTACTTAAATAATATACATAAAAAGTATTATGGAATAAGACAATGGTGTTTTCTTGCTATTGTACTCTTGATGGCTTGAAGTCCACCAAGATGTTTATTGCCAAGTATCTTTAACTGTTCTCCTACCCCACTCATATCAAAGGGTCCATAACCATAAGATGATAGAGGGATCATAGTCTGATTATTGTTATCTTTAACATAGGAGTGATCCTGTGCCTTTTTGTTTTATTTTAGACATTACAAGAACCTCTTAATCACCACTTAACTGGAAAACTTCATAACAAATGAGACAGATATTCACAACACTCTCTTATTCCGTGTCACATCATGCCTTTACCCACCCATCTTCATGAAGAACAAATAAACATTATTTTCACTCATGAGTCGCCAAAAGACAAAAGGATATTGCAAGCTTTGGGTCAAGTGCTCCTCTTTAACAATGGCTATAGTAAACCTTTTCATTGTATGATGAACCCTAAACCATAATATAATTCGAAATAAAACCATATCCGTACTTGCCAACAAACACAGGTGTGAATTGTGGTAATCAATCAAGGCGTCATTCTCATGTCTGAACCTGGCGACCAATGCCTTCTACACCAAACATTTACGAGATGTTTTTACTAATCCTTTCAGCTTTTGTAGATCTACGGGATCCAGCTTTTAATTTCATTCATCCATTCCAGTCTACAGTATACCTTCCATTGTCCCTTTTGTCCTCAGTTTTGTCACTTAATATCTCTATCTAATCATTTGGCTGATATACCTGAATTATTATTTATTAATATATTTCTAGTATTCCTTTTGTTGCTCTAACTGGTCTATCTCAGAACTTCTTCATTAATTTTGTGTCCGTATAAATAATCTTTAGCATTCTTCTGTATCACCATTTTTAAGACCTCAAATGTAAGTGTTCCAGCTTCTGATCAGTACATAAGTAGTGAACATATATTGCATTGAGGAGGCCTTTTGATTCATCGGAAATTAATGTCCCTTTTAACAGATCTATAATACTAAACACTATTATTTGCTTCCCTGTTCTGTTTTCAATTTCTTCTTCACATCAATTATCACAGCTCGTGTTACTAACTAAATACAAATACCGTATACAAAATTTTCCACCTATATATGTTCCATTTTGAAACCATAAACACACTTTCAGGAATACATCTACAGTAATTTGGAAACGACTATTACTTTACTTTATCCCCTTCGCCACTGATCAGCCTGTTAGCTGCTTGGGCGGTCGGCCATATAAGAACAAAAGAACATAAGAAAATAAGGAGTCGCAATAGGCCGGTTGGCCTGTGCATGGCAGCTCCTGTCGAGAGTTACTACCACTCTCTATCATCCATGAATCTATCTAGCCTCCATTTGAAACTTTCCAGAATTCCAGCAATTACTACAGAGTTGCTAAGCTTGTTCCACTCGTCCACCACCCTATTTGTGAACCAGTTCCTTCCTATCTTCCTCCTAAACCTAAACTTATCCAACTTAATTCCGTTGCACCAAGTCCTATCCTGCTCGGATATTTTAAGAACTTTATCTATATCCCCTTTATTGATTCCTTTCACCCACTTAAATACTTCTATCATATCTCCCCGCACTCTTCGTCTTTCTAGGGAATGCAAGTTGAGTTTCTTTAACCTATCCTGATATGGAAGGTTTCTAAGTCCCGGAATCATTTTCGTCATTCTTTGCTGCACCAACTCTAGTGAATTGATATCCATTCTATAATAAAGGCACCAGAACTGAACCGCATAATCGAGGTGCGGCCTGACTAGCGCAAGATATGGTTGCAATAAGACCTCTGCACTCTTATTACTTACACTTCTAGATATAAAACCCAATATTCTGTTTGCCTTATTTTGAACATTAACGCACTGTTTTCTAGGTCTCTTTCACAAGTCGACTTCTCTAGGTTGATGTTGTTAAGGCTGTATACATTGTCAGTATTTGTTCTTCCAATATTAAGTACGCTGCACTTGCTGGTGTTGAATTTCATTTGCCATTTTTCAGACCACCCCTGCAGTTTATTTAGATCCTCCTGTATTGCATTTGCATCCTGCCCTGAATTAATCTGCCGCCCTATTTTGGTGTCATCCGCAAACTTGCTTATGTCACTGCTGATCCTAGTATCTAGATCGTTTATGTAGATTATGAGCAAGAGTGGGCCTAGTACTGACCCCTGGGGACCCCACTGGTTACACGGCCCCACTCAGATTTAACTCCATTTACGCTGACACTCTGCGTTCTAGCGGTGAGCCATGATTTTATCCAATTTAAAACTTTCCCCTCGATACCATGAGCCTTAATTTTTCTCAGAAGCCTCTGATGCGGTACTCTGTCAAATGCTTTGCTAAAGTCTAAGTAAATAACATCGTAATTTTCGTCATTAACTACAACCCCGAAGACTTTCCTAAAAAACGTCAGCAGATTTGTGAGACAAGATTTTCCCTTTGTAAACCCATGTTGAGAGTCGTAGATTAATTTGCTTTTCTCTAGATGCACTGGCTCAAGTGTTGGTCAAGTCTGGTCTTAAATGAGCTCACACTCTGTGCTGTTACAACACTCTCTGGCTAATTATTCTAAGAGTTCATAACTCTCATTCCCAAAAAGCTTGCCTTGACAATTTTCAGAATTTGTGGTTTCCTTAACCTGAGGCTCTGACCCCTAATGGGGTGGGCATCAGCGAGTTCCAGGTATAAACACTCGAGTCAGATATGCTTATAGTCATCTATGAAGTCACCCCTTGCCCATTTATAGTATGAGCTAGGCAACTGGAGGCATTCTAATCTCCCTGGGTACCCGAGATATTGGAGTGTAGGCACCAGTCTGGTGGCCCTCTTGTGGTTACTTTCAAGCAACTGACAGACTCTAGCATTACGGGGAAACACCTCACTTAAATAGAGTGTTCTGAGGGACAGACCATCTAGGTATCTGAACAACCTTCTTGAAAGACCGACTAGTTTAGTTGCCCTTTTTTTTAATGGGGGTTACCCCTTCCGGGCACAGGTCACTGACCTACATCGGGGCCTGGTGGGGGGGGGGCGGGAAATCGAAATTTTAATAATAATAATAATAATAATAATAATAATAATAATAATAATAATAATAATAATAATAATAATAATAATAATAATAATAATAATAATAATAATAATAATAATAATAATAATAATAATGATAATAGTAATAATAATAATAATAATAATAATAATAATAATAATAATAATAATAATAATAATTATAATAATAATAATAATAATAATTACAAATATGAAAAAAAAGATTAAGATTGAGAAACTTTATATATGTGTTGTCAAAGTAAGAGAAACAATTCAGACCCTGCAATTGTGCGTAAAGTGAGGCAGAATGTCAGGTCACCAAATGTAAATTTTACAAAGTAATATTCTACTATTATGATGGCCCAATGGATATTGGTGCAACAATTCAATATATCAGATACAGCACTCTTCACTAGTAGTTTTAGGAACCAGGAAAACACAAGAATTTTTTGAAAATCCACATAAATATAATATGACTTACAGAGTTTAGGTGGTGTAACAGGACAAAGAACTTCACATTGCATATTAGAAAACCAACTAGTTTCATTTGCTAAAGTCTGTATATCCATATGATGTATAATTGATTGTTCGGCAACAGTGTCTGTAGTGGAAGATTCTTCTTTATGGCCCACTGAAGGAAGCGTGGATATGTTTACGCCAGCACTCATTCTTGCGGTTCTGGAGATAAAGGTGGTGGGCTGCTGGTAAAGAGTCTCATTTACATTGCGTGACATCTTTGGCGTGGAGAAAACTTCGAGACTTAACCAGTTTGACTGAAAATAAGACATACAGTATAAGGAAATGAGATATACTGTACTACTGGAAATGTTCAGATATTATCAGGGAAGTAGGTAGGTAGGTAATCTTTCATTTCCTCTGGGAGATGTGACCCTGCATTGCCAGCTTATTTCCACTCTGTGGCTTGCCATTAAGAAGTAAATTCAGCTATACAACTTTGTTTCACATGCCTGATGGCAATCAGGTCACCAGAAATGTGCCCATCACCTGGCCTCTGCTGCATTTTCTGGGCTGGTGCCCTGTGTGGTGGTGAATGGGTGGGGGGGGGTTCTCATTCTGGTTTTACCCAGCAGCTATCATCAGGTAATTGAGGCTGAACCACACAAGCATGGAAAATGGCCGTAAAACATTTATAAAATGTATTAGAAATGAAATACAAATTTATAGTTCCTGGCAAAATATATTACTATAAATAATCATTGGTGCACTTACTCACAGCCACAACAGAAGTAACACTCATCCATGATACGACAACTGGTCAAATAAATCTAAATACAACAGAAAATGTTAATTATCTATTTAAAATACTTAATAGCTAGAATTCATAACCATGCCATTTATAATAACACAAGTAACATTATTTATGGACAGGTAATCCCCAGTTTATGAAGACCCAGTATACACAAATACAAAATTAAGAAAAAGTCCCATGTTTCGATTTATGTATGAAAAATCCGTTTTTTTTCTTCACATTATTGTACTGTGGTGCTGACACAGGCATCTCAGGGCTTCCCACGTCGGACCTGGTCAGTCTATAAATAAATTTAAACTTAAAACAACATGCAGTATTGTAAACTAAACTAAAAATACAATACATGTAGTGGTAATACAGGCAGTGCCAAGACACTGGCTCAAGATATTTTAATTGTGGTAATGCTGATTTGTTTAGTTGGATAAGTTCAGCATTTCTTCTTCAGATGAAACCACATAAAATTAAATTCAGTGAAAGTAAAGCATCTCAAAATATATGTGTTCAGTGAAGTAGACTTACTGTAATTAAGTCAAAACGAAATTAAAACCATACTTATGTCTTAGCAAGGCCTTGCATCCTCACACTGCATCACAGTTAGAGGCTTGTACCGTAGTGTATGTGGCCAGTTGTCAAATTTCTCTTTGTTAGGCTCACATACTTACGTACATGTAGGATATCTTGTATTAAGGATGGGGGTGAGAAGGGAAACTGACAATGGCGTTTTATATATATATATATATATATATATATATATATATATATATATATATATATATATATATATATATATATATATATATATATATGTGCTTTCAGGGGTGAGTACAGACTGTACTCACCCCTGAAGATGTGAATTACACGAAAGTGCTTGGGAACTTCGTGTTTTCTTCTTTCCTTGTGGTTATCAGCATATACCTAGATCACTAGCACCTACAGTGATTTACTTGTATATATATATATATATATATATATATATATATATATATATATATATACAATCAACACCTCAACCTGCCAGGATTCGAACCCACGGCCCACGAGCCCATGACTGTGACCGGGGAACGCTAACCGCTGGACCACCAGAATACTAAAAGCAGTCCTAGACTTTGTTATATTTCACACAAAGCCTGTTCAACGAGCTTAAGGAGCCGTGAACCTCTAATGGGGACTACCCATATCACATAGGTGGTCAGAGTAACGTTTTAACAAATCCGGCTTCGAAACACGAGGATCGATATATATTTCATAAGCCCAATAAAGCACGCGGACTTCTACATACAATCAACACCTCAACCCGCCAGGATTCGAACCCACGGCCCGAGCCCATGACTGTGACAGGGGAACGCTAACCGCTGGACCACCAGGATACTAAAAGCAGTCCTAGACTTTGTTATATTTCACACAAAGCCTGTTCAACGAGCTTAAGGCACAGTGAACCTCTAATGGGGACTACCCGTATCACGTAGGTGGTCAGAGTAGCGTTTTACCAAATCCGGCTTCGAAACACGAGGATCCATATATATTTCATTAGCCCAATAAAGCACGCGGACTTCTACATACAATCAACACCTCAACCCGCCAGGATTCGAACCCACGGCCCGAGCCCATGACTGTGACAGGGGAACGCTAACCGCTGGACCACCAGGATACTAAAAGCAGTCCTAGACTTTGTTATATTTCACACAAAGCCTGTTCAACGAGCTTAAGGCACAGTGAACCTCTAATGGGGACTACCCGTATCACGTAGGTGGTCAGAGTAGCGTTTTACCAAATCCGGCTTCGAAACACGAGGATCCATATATATTTCATTAGCCCAATAAAGCACACGGACTTCTACATACCATCAACACCTCAACTCGCCAGAATTCGAACCCACGGCCCACGAGCCCATGACTGTGACCGGGGAACGCTAACCGCTGGACCACCAGGATACTAAAAGTAGTCCTAGACTTTGTTTTATTTCACACAAAGCCTGTTCAACGAGCTTAAGGAGCCGTGAACCTCTAATGGGGACGACCTGTATCACGTAGGTGGTCAGAGTAACGTTTTACCAAATCCCGCTTCGAAACACAAGAATCGATATATATTTCATTAGCCCAATAAAGCACGCGGACTTCTACATACAACCAACACCTCAACCCGCCAGGATTCGAACCCACTGCTTTTAGTATCCTGGTGGTCCAGAGGTTAGCGTTATTGACAATAATGGGGTAGGGGTTTGTTTTTGCGATGTGAATTATTTTTAGTTTTTGGACATTGGTTTTTATCTTCCCTTTTCGTTCATAGTTGTCTATTATCTCTATTTCTCTGCTTGTTCTGATGGCCATCATTTGTTTGGATTTTCCTGGGTACCTGACTATCTGTGTGACATCATCTGCGTATGCTATATATTTTGATTGCCGTGGTTGTGGCATGTCTGCTGTGTATACAGGGTATAATGTCGGCGATATATTACTGCCTTGGGGAACTCCACTATGAAGGTTGAAAGTTTGTCCTAGATGGTTGTCGATGATTAATTTGGCCTTTCTGTTGTCTAAGAAATTGCATAGTAGTGTTATGATATTGGAAGGCATGTCCCATTTGATTATTTTCAACTTCAATCCTTCATGCCAGACTTTATCAAATGCTTTTGACACATCTCTTAGAATTATATTGCATTGGTCTCTGTTGTTTGCAGCATTTGCAATTGATTCGTATATTAGTGCTATTGCTGTGTTGGTTCCTCGATTTCTCCGAAAGCCGTGCTGTCTCGGGTTATATTTGTTTTCTTGGTCTAGAAATTTTCTGAATCTGTGGTTAACTATTTTTTCCAATATTTTACCGGGTGTTTCCAGTAGTGAGATAGGTCTGTAGTTCTCTGCTTGGGTATGGTTCTTTCCTGCTTTCGGGATGAATCTGATTTTGGCTATTTTAAATTTGGTCGGGAAGAAGCCAGTTGCAAGTGAGGCATTGTATATATATTTAAGCTGTTCGATCATAGACTCAGGAATGTTTTGTAGTACGATTTGATTAATTTGGCTTATGCCAGGTGCTTTGTTCTTAAAGCTTGCTATTGTTTTTTCAATATCATTTTCGGTTAATGGAGCAATTATTGGGTTATTACTATTTAATGAATCGAGGTTTATTTATCTAGTAGGTTTCCATTTCTCTGTGTTCTGGCTCAAATGTGTTCTAGTTGCCTGTTCTGTTTCTTGGCAGAAGCTTCTATTGTCTTCGTCGTTGATTCTGAATATGTCTTTCCAGTATTCTCTAAATATTGGTTCTTTATCGTGTGGTTCTGTTGCCTTTCTTCCGTTTTTGTCCTTTATGTAGCTAGTTTCTTCCGAATTAGTTCCCATTAGGTTTTTTATTTTTTTCCAGAATGCTTTTGGATTTCTGTAGTCTGCTTGTGTATCATTGATCAGTTTGTTCCATGTTTCATTGTGTTTGTTCTTGCTTATGTCTTTCAGTTCTTCTTTTAGATTCCTGTATAATATTCTGTTGTCATTGCTCAACCCGCGTGATTTTGTGTATTCATATAGATTGGTGAATCTGGTTTGGATCATTTTCTCTTCATATGTTAATTGTGCATGTGGTAATGTACGGTATGTTGTTTTAGGGATGTTGTTTTTCATTGCTGTTATTACTTCATTGTACCATGTATCCAGTGTTTTGTCAATCTCTGTTGTGTCTTTGTTGTGTAGTAGTGTTGGTTCGTTTTTGCTAAGATCCGATTTAAATTTTTCCCAATTTGCTCTATTGAGTGAAAATCTTGGGATTGATGGAATTTGTATCGGGGATGTGGATAGAGTTGCTATTATGGGTAGATGATCACTGGTTGTTGTGGGTCCAGTTTTTATATGTGCGTTTAGATGGTGATGCCTATTGGTTAAAACAATGTCTGGTTTTCCAGAGTTACCGGCTGATACGTAAGTTTCGAAGTCGGGCCCGAGGTGTGTTATTGTCCCGTGTTCGATGAGAGCATGGAGGATTTTTCCTCCTGGGTTTCTGTTATTGTGTCCTAAGGTTGTGTGTTTAGCGTTGAGGTCTCCTATGAAGTATGCTGGATTGTTTTGCCTCATTAGTTTTAATATATCTCCTGTAGGGAATATTGGCCTTCTGACTGTTAGATATGAAGTTCCGTTAGTTATTGGGCCTCTTGTTGTATTTATTTCGGCTGCAAGAAAGTTACTTTGAAAGCTGTCTATGATTTTGTATTGTATGTTGCGTTTTATAGCTATTGCTATTCCGTCATGTGGTTCGTCGTGTATGTTCATTTGGTGTACATGGTAATTAAAGATCTTGATTTTGTCACTGTTTTTCCGACCATGTGAGTTGATTAGTATTATGTGTTGTATGCATTTGTTAGTTCTGTTTTCCGTATATGTGTCCAGGCAAGGACATTATGTTGTAGAATCTTTATGTTTCGGTTCTGTTCAGTCGTGGATCCCGCGAACTCAGTCCAAATTGCATGCCGGCTCTTGTCTCTCCTGTCGGGTATCTCTGCCGTTCCTCTTTTAGGCC